ACATGGAAGGTATGACATCTAGCGCTTCATTAGAGTCAGATCAGTTCCTGGCTCAGACAATTCTAACTACTGCCAACAGGTACTTAGTGGAGTTTTTGAGTGAATTGACAGATGGTTTCACCGAATACCTGGTCAAGCTTTAGCAGCAGGAGATCTCTCTTTGATTGCCTTTGGAGCTCTCCCAGACAATATCTGGAAAGTAAGCTGACAGTGTATGGATTTTTTTATATATATATATTGTTCTATTTTTACTTTGGATTTAATTATTTTGCTTATCACAGGCATTTTAATTGTTATACTGTATGCTGTTTCTTACAGCTGTCAATGTGATAACAGCCCCTATGGATGAGGGCACTATATGAATTTAATAAACAAATTTTAACAATAAACTAAACAAATCTTAGTGCATTATTTATTGAAAATCTCCTAATCTTGGCACTTTGCAGGTTTCCTGCCTGAAGGCTCACCAGCTATATATAAACTGCTAAAACAGATATAAACACAGAAACAAATACGTATAAATGTATAAATATTTATACATCCGTATTTTTATGGCTCCTCTTTTATAACAGTCATTGCTAATATCATTATGAAATATTATGGTTTCTTAGGTGGACACACAGTAAATTACACCTCATTTTAGTCATTATTTCCCACAAAAAATATGATTAAATTTCATAGTTCCAAACTATGGCAATGCAAATTGCAATTTCCCATCATTCTGGAATGTGCTGAAGCTTGGATGGCCAAAGGTATTCTCTCATGTCCTAGATAGGATTTCAACCTATCTAAGACAGGAAACAGAATTTATGTGTACGCTATAAACACTTAGAAAATATGTTTGCATGGAATAAAAGAAGGCAATAGAAAACTAATTCTGCATTGTTGCCAAGAAAACTACATGGAAATGTCAGTGAAGACATCAGAATTCGAACTTGACTTTAAGAAGACTATTTTTAGTCTATTACTATACACAGCCAGGAATATATAATGAAGCAGATTAAGATACATGGCCACACTACAGGACAAGTGCTGGCATGGGTAAAAGATACAATCTCTGCTAAAAATTGTAGAATATGTAGAGTTGTGTATTAATCAGTGAAAAAGACAGTCCTGCAGGCAATCACGTCAGGGAAGAGGGACATCATCCCACAAAGAGATCTAACAAGACTGCATCTAAAGGCTGTGCAAAGGATGTTAGCACAAGTAAAGTACAAGTACTTCACAGTGTAAAATCAGCCCCATCCTTTGGAAGGCTGTTTGAAAAATTATCCCTGCCTATCTGCCTTTTGTGGTGGTGTCAATGAAAATTCAGCCTTAGCATATGCAGATAAGCAAGGACAGAACACCACCACAAGTTTTCCAAAGAGAATACAAATATTGTATTTAATTTCCAGGATCATGCCACTTAGGAAGAGAAGGCAAGAACGGACACTCAGAGATCCAGACATATGAGCTCTGCTGACCAAATTATTTCTTCTGCAAGAAGAAATAAAGCAGACATAGCCCTCTGTCTAACAGAATTGGTCAACAAACAGGTATTACAGCAACCTCTATTGAGAGACATGCTCCAAGATATCATCCTCATACTTTGGGAAAAAAACTATTTTTGAAGAAGGAGAGAAGATCAAGGCAGAGTCTCACTATGCAGAGAACTTCTCCACTCAGTGTGCTAGCTCCCTTTCCTGCTTTGGGCTAGAAAAAAGAATTTTCTAACTTTCTAGTGTAAGGTGGAGAAGAGAGCCAGCGCATTGGACTGGAGGAAGAAAGTTTGAGATCTGGGCTTTCTTTTTCCAGCTCTGAATGCTGTCCCTAAGAGGCAACTGGACTTTCTGATTTTTCTTTGAAGGTGTTTCGCTTCTCATCCAAGAAGCTTCTTGGATGAAACAAAGCACCTTTGGGACAACCGTGACCTGAATGACTGAGAATCTCCATAGACATTTAGCTCAGAATGCTGGTTTTGTATATGGAGGGGTGCTGCCTATCTTCTTTCATCAGGCAGTTCTTTCACTCCATTTGTTTAATGATCCACATGGTCACTTAGCAACTGAACTTTAGCGGGACAGTGGTCAATGTGTGAGGGGATCACACAGATTCCTCATTTAACAATTGAAATGACTTCTGACTATATTGGACAGGCTCCATTACAGTTGTAACTCGATAACTACTTCTTTCTGCTTCTCTTTGTGGAGAAGCAACAACAAAGACAGAAAGAGTGGGCTCTTTTGAGGGATCAAAGGTACTTTGAGGATAGAATATAAGCAACATGAAGGAGTATAGTGGTTTATGAAGCTATAGCAGAGAGAGATGGCTAACGTCGGAAGACCGGGAAAAGGATCTTTAGCGAAGATCCTTAACTTTAAACGTAAGATTTATCTGAATGATTTTATTAAGAGAATGCAGCATTTATACGGGAACCTCCCACCTCTTTCTTTTCTCTGCAGGGTTTTGTTTTGTTTGTTTTTTACATAATGGCTGGAAAATCTCTTTAAGACTAATGCACCATTTTTCAGGGAATGGTAGCTGGAGTATGAATTTGCAGCCATCAGCTTTCTCCCATTAGAGTAAAAGTCCTTAGATCCAGAGCAAATTATGTGTTGAGTACAACAGGCAGTCACTGTGAGCAGTGAAGCCAAAATCCTAGTTAAAGTTTTATCATCAAACCCTTGAGAAAAGAATGAAAGCATTGCATTCACTATTAATTGTTTCTCATGTCTTTTTCTTAGTGCCAGGAATTATAGAAAATGAAAAGAAAAAGGTGTAGGAGCAACACTGTGGTGTGCTTTTCATTTTTTCCCCTATTTTTCCAAATATGGTGATTTATTAGAATGCAATTCTCATCATACATCAATAATGTTATCCATGATAGTTGTAGATTGACATACTAGTGCAACATATAGTATATGGAGGATGACAGATGGAAAATATTATATTAGCTATTACTGATTCTTTGGGAATCATTGATACTTTTCTAGTATTGTGATTACTAAGTGAGAAAGCATATTGTTCAGCTTGCTCTTGCGGCAACAAATGGAAATCATGATGGCCTGAGCAGAGTTTTATGTTATGTTGGTTATAACAGAAAATATTAGTTAATCCATCTGTTAGCAAGCAGCTTCAAGCAAATGTTTCATTATTAATATGAGCCCTGCCCCTCTATCTGTTACTATAATTATTAAAGTAAACTCTAATAACTATAGTAATAAATAGAGGGGCAAGGTTGTCTTTCTTTCTATCCATCCATCCATCTACCCATCCATCCTTCTTTCCTTCCTTCCTTCATTTCCTTCCTTCCTTCCTTCCATCCATCCATCTATCATCTATCTATCTTCTATCTATCAATTAAAGTTATATGGCTCCCCATCTCACAAGAAATGACTCTGGGCAGCATACTATTATTCAAGTCGGTACATTAAGTGTTTACTCAACAATGCTATTCTTTGTGACACCTTGACCATATCTTCTCCTTTGCAAACACCCCTCTGCCCTCAATATTTTGAGGGTGTTTTCTTATCAAGAAAATATTTAGTTAAAAGAAAACTATGTCAATGGATAGGTTGATTCAGCACTAAGGACAGCTCTTGAATGTTCATACTTGATTAGCCTATAGTTAATATAATTTTCATTAAAATGGGGAATAATGGCCTCTTTGTGGTCTAGTCTTTTCATTAGCATAACCAAGATCCCTTAATGCAAATATTAACAATCATGAGGAGCTGTATTACTTTGAAAAGTAAATACCATGGTATATATCATTTATCTCCTAATTCTGTACTGTAAACACTTGGAAATAGATAAAACTGCTAATATAACACTTATATCCCAAACTGACAGTTGTGATAAGGGTCTGGAGGGAAAAATGTAGAAGAAAAATTAGGTGGTTCCAAATATGTTAAGCCTAAAGAAGCAAAGACTGAGGTGAGACACAACATCTACCTTCAAGCATGATTAAAAGCAAAAGATGGGACAAAATTATTCAGAAATTTAGAAAAGACAGCATGAGAAACAATAGGATGAAATTACTAGGAAACAGATTTTGGTTGAACAGCAACAAAAAGAAGTCTCCTTATAACAAGAACTGTACAACAATGGAACAGACTTCTCTAGAAGATGTTGGACTATCATTTGATGGAGGCCAATTGTCAGAGACTCTATAATAATGGATTATTGCAGTGGGAAAAGATTGGATCATAAGATCTCCTAGTTCCTGTGACTCCTGTCCAAACCTTATATGATTTTACAGTTCGATGGCTTGGATTATTTATTTATTTAGCCTCACTTGATAAAGCCCTGACGTTGTCAACCAGATCTTGATGAAATTAGTCCTGCTGTTTTTGCAGCAGTTTTTATTTTTAATTGATTGCGCTAATTTCCTACTTTGCTGTTTTCACTTCACGTTTTTTCCTTTTGCTTTTATGGCAAATGCTGCAGATACTGTACATTATTACATCCAAAGGTCATGCAGGTTTTTATCAGTTTAACCTTGGCTGCAATGTATTCATGATCAAGCCAGAAATTTCATTTGAATTTACTTCTGGTATAGTTTATTTTATCCATCAACAGTTCTGGGATTATGCTGATCTGTTGTGGAAAAATAGTATTTCTCTCTTATCCTTTGCAGGTCAAATAAGTTGTCTAAGCTATGAAGCTACAGCAAACTAAAAGATTGGGAAATATCTTCCTCACACTCACTCTAGTCTGCCTAGATACAAGAGCATCAAAGGATAATCTTGCAATAAGAGAGGAGTGATCATTATCAGAATAAAATCAATTTCAACATCAATAATTAAGTTTAATAATTTTGGGTATCTTATCTTACAATCATGCCTTCTCCTTGAAGACCGGAGATAAATTGTCTTTTATCTGCCCATTTACTTAATAACCATAAACTAAAAATCCAGATGTCTGGAATAGTATTATATGGATTTTTATGTTCAGTTGCCTGCTTCAAAAATTTATACATGACTATCCACGAATTTTTGAAAAGAAAAGAAACTGACCTTTTACCCTGTCGCCTTTGTGCAAATGAATTTCCCCTTCTCCTTGAGGTTGATATGGCTTCACAACAATAAATAGTCTTCCAGGTACAGCACTATACAGTTTGCGTTTTTGACCCTGATAATCGAAAGCAGATATAATGTCCTTGTTGGCACTGGGATTATAATTGGCACTGAAAGACAGCAGAATAGAATGGTTTCATTTCATCTTTTAACACTCTTATAGCATAGCTTATCTTTTAAACAAACAGCATAATGTTCCCAATAATCAGGATAAAATCATGCAGCATTATCTGCTACCTATCTTAACAGCTCAGACGATTTTTTAAAAACTCCAGATAAGATTTTTAAGGAGAAAAGGCAGTTAATTGCAGTATTTTATTTTATTTTATTTTTTGCACTGAAAGCACCAGGAATTTCTGATACATTGGCTTTCTTTTGTGACATTTACTGAACTTAAAGCAGCTGCATTGATCTGCTTTCCTCTTCTCCTTCAGATGGAAGGGAAGTGTGTTCCTTAAAAATTACTGCTCCCTGCAGCCAACCTTTTACCATAGTTCAAGAATTAGACTGGTAGTATTGCTGCCTGCATAAAAAAAAATAACAGTGGGGTGCAGTGGAGCTATCAGTTGTTTTGGGTGCTCACAGCTTGAAAGGATATTTCTTGTTGCTGTTTCCCTGTCTACCTTCTGACTGCATAAAGCAGCAGGCAACATCCATGCCTGCTGCAAGCAGTACGTGCAGAGTCTCCACCAAGGTCCTTCTTTTTTCCTCTTAATTCAACACTTGCATTGGGAGAGAAAGTTGTCTGTGGCTAACTCAAGTCTCTTCTCTGCTGACATAATTCTTTTCTTCTTCATTTCCTTCCCTCAATTTACCCATTCCTGTTAAAAGAACTACATCTCCTTTTACAACAAAGCTGCATCCATCATTTTGCAATTTCTGGATTAGTTTAACAGAATAAAGAGTTGTTGGATGTTTTCTAGTCCAACCCACTGCTCAGATTTGATAGAAGCCATTTGATTTGTGGTCAATATTCCACAAAACACCTCCACCCCCCCCCCCAAAAAAAAAACAGGCTGGTCAATGAAACTTCCAGTCTCTCTTGCAGCCATTGCAAACAGTTCATAGAGGTCCAGAATCTTCCAATCAGACAAAAGGATGTGATCCGAAGGTAAACCAATTGGATCCCTGCAATCCACTCACTCTGAAGGCCCTTCCTTCATGCATGCTAGAGTGTTCCCTGTTCTCATTTTCATGCTGGGCCATCTTAATCTGTCTACATACCAGGCTGACATAGATAGATGCCCTGCTGTTAGGACATCAGAATATTTATTTATTTATTTATTTATTTATTTATTTATTTATTTATTTATTTATTTATTTATTTATTCATTCATTCATTCATTCATTCATTCATTCATTCATTCATTTATTCATTCATTCATTCATTCAATTTATATACCGCCCTTCTCCTATTGGACTCAGGGCGGTGCACAGCCAAGGATAAAAAACATACCAATACAAAATTTAAAATCAATTAAAAGAATTATACAGCTTTGGCCCACAGTTTAAAACAATCCATTTAAAACCCAATTTACACTTAAAAGCTAAGAAGCTAACAAGAGCTTAAAAAGAGGGAGGGGGGTTCACGCCAGTCCTGCTTGATGGAAAAGAAAAGTTTTTAGGGCATGGCAAAAGCCCCGGAGATCAGGTATCCTTCGTATCTCCAGGGGCAAATCGTTCCAGAGGGCAGGTGCTGCCACAGAGAAGGCCCTCCCCCTGGGGGTCGCCAGCCGACATTGCCTGGCTGACGGCACCCTGAGGAGTCCCTCTCTGTGGGAGCGTACTGATCGGTGGGAGGCTATTGGCAACAGAAGGCGGTCTCACAAATACCCAGAATATGCTAATTGATATCCTGGAACTGGAACTATGACGTTGCATAGGTGAGCCCTTATAAGCCAGCAACACTGTGGGTCAAAGTCAGTTCCAAAGTTCAGCTATATGCTATAAAATCATAGCTGTCTTCCACTTCTACCAATTATAATGCTTTCAAGAAAAACAGGAAAACTGCAGATGAGAAATAATTCTAGATAATGAAGTGTCCTTTCCCCTTTCATTTTTGAAATTATGATGCAAATTGAGACCCACAAAAATAGCCTGCATTTTTTAGAAACCTTTAAATACACATGTCACCCGAACAAGACCTACTGTCCCTAATAACAGACTTTAGAATTTGGAGAGTGCATGCTACTTACAAGCAGCCTCACTTGTGCAACTTTATTCACTTTGCAAATGAGCAAAGTTCCTTCTGTCTCTTGAGTCTCCACATAAAACATCGTTTATGGAAGAAGGGCTAAACCTAAACTCTCTGTATCAGACTATCAAGAGTTTCCAGGGAAGATAATTTGGAAAAGTTACAAATTCATTCTTGTTCCATTCTTGTTACCTAGCTCCATGACAGCTTCCCAGAATCTTGCAAGATATTGATAAGGGGTGAAATCCAGCAGGTTCTGACAGGTTCTGGAGAACCGGTATCAGAAATTTTGAGCAGTTCAGAGAACCGACAAATACCATCTCTGGCTGGCCCCAGAGTGAGGTGGAAATGGAGATTTTGCAATATCCTTCCCCCAGGAGTGGGGAGGGAATGGGGATTTTGCAGTATCCTTCCCCTGCCACACCCACCAAGCCAGGCCCACAGAACCGGTAGTAAAGAAATTTGGATTTCACCATTGGTATTATCCATATCCTATGTCCCATTAGAATTCTGACCAATGCACAGAGCAGGAAGAAGCATTTATTTGTATCTTTTTTGGGTGATGACAAATACTTGTGTGGAAAAAGACGGCATAGAGATTGTGGTATAATAGGAGACTTGCAGAAATTAGACTAAAATTCTCATTTTAAAAAAGCCAACAGTGCAAAGTTACCTGATGTGCCGTTGCTGCTGGCGCTTTGCATCCTCTCCTAGCCTATTTAATGATGGAGAGCGGCTCCGAGAAGATGAAGTGTAACTTCCCACAGTTTTCACAGTTCCATTAGGATTATTCTGCATCTGTTGGAATAGGTGAGGTGAAAGGCTACGGTGTGAAGAGGGTAAAGGGGAGGCTGACCAGTCAGGAAGATTGACGTTCAAATTGTTATCGCTATTAGACCGAAGCAAGAGGCGAGGTGTGGCCAAAGTGCTGTGCGGTTTCCGTCGTCTGTTTGAGTAAGTGGGAGCCTCTCTGAATGGCACTGCAATAAAAGAGAGAAAAGCACTGAGAAAAGCTCTTTTAAAAACACTTATCATAGCCTGCAAACATTTCAGTCTAGTATTATTTTAATTTTAATTTTTCGTATAGAGTATTAAAAGTGGATTGCCTATTCAGGTGAACGTTGCAATTGTATTTAGACAGAAATTCAAATTAAAAACCATTTCCACTGGAAAACTTTTAAAATGAACCAGATTTAATGAGATTAGTATAATCTTGTACTCATTACAGGTGGCTCTTGGATTTATGACCACAACTTGGACCAGCATTTTCATTCCTAAGCAAGGCGGTTGTTAAGTGAGTCAGGGCCAATTGTAAATCCTTCTTTGCCATGGTTCTTAACCAAATCACCCACAGTTAAATGAATCACTTGATCACTAAGTGAATCTGACTTTCCCCACTGAATTTGCTTGTTGGAAGCTGGTGGAGAAAGTTATCCTGTGCAAAGATGTGCGAGGAAGGAAGGAAGGAAGGAAGGAAGGAAGGAAGGAAGGAAGGAAGGAAGGAAGGAAGGACGAAAGGAAGAACGGAAGGAAAGGAAGGATGGAAGGAAGGAAGGAAGGAAGGAAGGAAGGAAGGAAGGAAGGAAGGAAGGAAGGAAAGAAAGAAAGAAAGAAAGAAAAAGAAAGAAAGAAAGAAAGAAAGAAAGAAAGAAAGAAAGAAAGAAATGCAAATACATGCCAATTGCCATCTGCCTGAATTTTGATCATGTGACAGTGGGGGCACTGAGACAATCGTTAAGTGTGAAGAGCAGTCATAAATCACTTGTAATTTCAAATGGTTACTAAACAAATGGTTTTAAATCAAGGACTATCTGTAGAGATCAGAGTTTCTCAACCTTGGTAGCTTGAAGATAGGTGAACTTCAACTCCCAGAATCCCCCAGCTAGCAGCACTGGCTGGGGGATTCTGGGAGTTGAAGCCCATCCATCTTCAAGCTTCCAAGGTTGAGAAATACTGGTATAGGTAGAATACTGTTAATAGTATAGAATTATTATTCAAGAATAAAGAATTGGAAGTTAAGACTCAGCAATGAAGATAAAATATCTGACCAATGAACAATGAGCAGTATGAATAGTTTCATTAAAAAAAGAAGTAGTAAATGTTATAGTATGGCAAGAGTAGACAGCTTGTCATCCTGCAAAATAACTTATTTATGACAGAAAACAACAACAGATTTTTCTCACCCACAATTGGCCCTTAAGCTAATTTGCTTTGCAGTTACAAGAAACACAGAATAAGATACGAGATTCCACCCTAGAGATATCGCCTCAAGAGAAGGAGGTTAAAAGGAACAAAAAATGCTAGTATTCTCAAGCAGGTTTTTTTTTCATTTACTGATGTTTCTGCAAATCCAGGAGTGTCAACTTACATAAGGCTCTCAGACTGAAGTCACCAACCCTGACCTTATTACCTTGTACCACAATTTCATATTGCCAAGCAAGCGCCGTACTGCTGCTCCCTTGGACTGAAGTGAATAAGGGGAAGATAGAAGATAGTTCAGCTGCCCAACAGAGTAAAAACATTGGTTCCAAAAACACACTAGCCTCTAATCCCATTATGGGGCAAAGCCACCTTTCTGATCACTCCTAAAAATGGAAGAAGGTGATGGCAAGTTCTAGGCAGGAGATACCAGAAGGTAGGACAAAATGAAGCTTCCTTGATATTAGGGCAACAGTTGCTCTGACTCTTCAGGCAAGCTCACCAAAACTGATTAATTATAGCATTTGCTCTGGAGCAGCAGCTGTACTGAAAGTTAATCACGTGGCATCCATGCGGCATCATGAGAAACAACAGCACAGGTGAGATCTTAGCAATCTGGTTTGTGGAAGGGATCTTGAGTTTTTATCCACATTATAAAAATGTATTGGCATTGCATGATGACCTATGTTCAGGGGGTTACCCAGCATGCAAAGTTCTCACCTTTTTCAGAACTACATGTTGGTTATCTGCTGAACCCACAGAAGCTATGACCCCTTTTAAACACAGCAAAAAATGTTTTTCCACCGGTGAATCTATTATGGCACTTGTTAAAGGGTTTTCAGTTAACTTCACTCATTCTCACTGGATCATGGGGGGGGGGGAATCCTTAAATAAATACTCAGATCGTTGTTAAATATTAAAAATTACAACATGAAAAGGAAAAAGAAAATCCTTTTTTTAGAAAAATGGAATCAAATGATTGTAAGCTAGGCTGAAGTAGCTTTCAAACTTCAGTTCCATTTATGCAAAATCCATATTTAACAATTTTATTGTCATCATCTCTTACCAAAAAAAAAGAGAGAGAGAGTACATAAATATTAGGACATGAACAAAAACGAATGCAAGCAGCTCAAATGGGCAGCTGTTATAAAAGAATATTACACAGAAAAGCCAAGCTCTGCAAGAACCCTTGAATCTTCCTTCGAATTCCCAGATCCTGTGAAACACTGTGTTAGCATAATACTTCCCAAGATCAGATTTCATATGAATTAATACTTGTAAAAATTGTTTAAAAAACATAAAACTTTTAAATTGCCATGAAAAGAGAAATCCAAACAAATAAGGATCAACACTTGTAAAGGGAATTATGTAAGTCCATTTCTCTTTTCAGACATATCTCCACTGTCTCTCTTCTTTCCCAGTGTGAAAGTACTTCAACTATGTACCATACCCCTGGTGGGTGAGCGTGCAAGCACACAAAGCTGCATTTTCACAACCGGTGTGTGCAAAACCATCTCCTCTCCTCACCCACCCCACTGCCAGTCCACAGAGCCAGAAAGATAGGACATTGCTGTGCTATACAACAACCTTCTGAAGCCCCTCTTTACCTTAATTCCAATGATTTCCCCAGCTGAATGCTAGTAGAGGTTACGAATCAAATTGTTGGTTTATTTATATATTAGAATTATGACTGTTTTCCCACAAGAGTAACAAATAGTTTACACAATACCATGCCTAGTTTCCCCCTAAACAACTCTACAGTTAGACTGAAAGATAGTAACTAGCCCCAAATCTGGGTGCAATTCAAGGTCCTAGTTGTCATCTCAGGGACCTTCTCTTCCCGGTCACATCTACTCGACCCACTAGAGCGGGCAGGCAAGAAATGTTGTGGGTCCTATCCCCCAGGGAGATACACCTATTGTTTTATTAATTTATGATTTGCTTATTTTCTTCTATTAGTTTTATTTTTTTATATATGATGTTTTTATATTCATGTAAGCCGCCTTGAGTTGCTATGTGCAAATAGGTGGCAATATAATTTTTCTAAAATAAATAAATAAATCACCAAATTTCTATGGAGTCACGAATCTCTCCAACAACCTAATAATTAAAACATTCTGGCTCTCCTTGCTGTTGATACAAGATTAGGAGGCCAAAATGGGAAAATATGCAGAAATAGAAAAACTGACTACTCTTAACTAAGTACTCCTAGACCAGTGATGGCTAACCTTTTTGCCATTGTGTGCCAAAAGTGGGGGGAGCACGGGGACATCACACACACGCTTGCCCACACCCATAATTCAATGTGCATGCACATGCAACACACACACCCCGTGGGGCCATTTCCGGCCTCCGGAGGGCCTCCGGTGGGTGGGGAAGGCTGTTTTTGCCCTCCCCAGGCTCCTAGAAAGGCACTGGAAGCTGGGGAGAGCGAAAAACGGGCCTTCCCCACCCACCCTGGAGGCTGGAAACAGCCTGTTTCTCAACCTCCGGTAGGCCCGGAAAACTGAGCTAGGGCAATGCTCGCGTGCCCACCAATATGGCTCTGCGTGCCACCTCTGGCACACGTTCCACCTGTGGCACACATGCCACATGCCATAGGTTCGCCATCATGGTCCTAGACTAACAACCATTTTTTAAGGGACAGTTCGAAATTATAACAGCACTGAAAAAAGTGATTTATATGATCATAATTTGGGTGCTTGGAAACCAGCATGTATTTACAATAGTCGCAGTGCTCCAGGATCACACCTTTCGCAATTTGCAATCTTCCCAGTCGGCTTTCAACAAGCCAGATGGCATGTTCCCAATGGGGAAAGCCAGATTCATTTAATGATCACCTGATTCACCTAACAACTGTGGCAAAAAAAGATCGTAAAATTGGGTGTGACTCATTTAACCATCACCTTGCTTAGCAACCAAAATCAAGCAGGCATGGCTCCCTTACATACAATATATTGTACAACAAGGCAAACTAAGACATTTAGACTCTGGGTTTTGAAGATGAAAGAGAAATAGAATTTTTAAAAACTGAAAAAACAAAGTATAATATTTAAGAAGTAGTTAGTGTTGGGGGGGAAATAAAAGGAAGAGGGAAATGCACTACCGAATGCTTCTGTTTACAGTATATTCTGTATTAGACTATATGTTCATGAAGGTCTCTTTTCTTATTCCTTACTTTTTTACGATGCTTGTGCAATAATAGAACTAATCAAATCTCTAACAAAAAACAACAGCAACCCTTCATGTTCTTTCTTTCTTTCAGAAGTTAAGATGTGATGACCATACATCTTAAATGCATAACTCTGGATGGGGAAACAATCTATATAAAAACAATATAAAAACCCTGTAATAAGGTTTTTAATAAGTCAATATGAAAAGAAAAACAACCTAGCTGTTGCACAAAAGCAGACAAGACATATATTGGGCTTCAAACAAGAGAAAACCCAATTTTAACAACTTCCCATAAGGCTAAAACAACTGGGGCCCTCCCAATCTCAGGCAGGAAGGCTGTTCTATGGCACAGGGGTTTTGACAGTATGATATCGTAGGACTTTTCAGTCCTACAATATCATACTGATTAATTAAAAAAAAATCCACCTAGAGTATGTATGTTGGATGTATGTTGGACCTGATAGAACAGGCAAAAGGCTAAAGGCTAAAACAACTGGGACCCTCCCTTCTGCCTGTATCTTAAGAGGTTGATGTGAAATTGTTATCAATATGTCTCTGGCAAGCCTCGGAGATGTCAAAATCTCATGTCTATCATGATGCTATTGTG